TGTATAGGAGTACGTGTTTACTTTGGGATGAAAATCGCATAGATCAGTTACCTCAAGAGATTGTAGTGTTTATACTGAGATTGCCAGAAGCTAAAAAACAGCAGCAGTTATCAACTTTTCCCAGAAACAAGCATTCGTATGACAATGCGTTGCAGGATACTGTACCAAAGACTTGGTGGGACTACAAGAAAAATTTCGAACTTAGATCTTTATTCAAGAATAGATATTTTATATATCTCAATATAGATATAAATAATTAATATAGAGTTTGGACTAGTTTATTTAGTAGTACTATATAATTTTTACAATCTGGCATAGGTTTAATAGTGCTATCTTTGTTTCTTTTTTTTTTTGTTTTGTTTTTCTTTTATATATTATTTTGGTTTTATTTGTTTAGATGAATCGAAATTGAATACCAAAGTATCACCCCTTTTTTTCTTTTTGTCCTTTGAATTTGTATTTGCATTTTATTTTTGTCAAAAGAAAGATGATACTGATATGGTATGTGGTACTGGCCAATGATCGAAAGATTCATACCTCTAGGAAGTTAGAAGCCTGAAGAGAGGCAAATAGCCACTAGGTGATATCACACCTGGGTTTTAAGTCAAATGAGTTACTTGTTGTGGTTAGGGCTTTGCAGTAAATCACATAATTTCTGCTTACTATAAGGTCTACCCCTCTCCCCCCTGTGATAAATATTAACCAATCAAAATTTATTTTTCTTAGAACGTAATGGATTAGCTACCCTCTCTCTTCTTCTAAAAAATCACGTGATTTCTTGCATTTCCCTTAAGGAGATAACAACTATAGTTAAGAATTCTTGTAATTTTTGCTTGGTTTAGATTCTAATAAAAAAACAGTAGCAGAACATACCGAAAAAAAAAAATAAAATAAAATAAGATTTATATTGCTTTCTTTATATAGAGAAAGCAAAAATAAATAAAAGATATGAAAAAATATTAGATAAAAAAAAGTAAAGAATTAAAGAAAGTTTGATTTTATTTTTATATTTTAATTTTTTTTTATTTTAATAAAGCTGCTCTGTTAACTTAATTTTATATAAATAATCAGTTTACTTTTGTATATATATTTTGAATTTATTTTAATTTTTTTTAAATAATATTTGTGATTTTATTTTTTTATTTTTTTTTATTTTGGCTATCTTGTCAATAATTCTTTATTAAGATTATTATGTGACAAGATTATATAATATTAAGCTTAATATCTAGATAGTTATTTTTAAAGTACTTACAAGTGACTAGCCATACCAGGCTAACCTTCTACTAAAAAATATCAATAACTTAAGTTTAATGATCTAAGTTAACCCTGAGAACTTAAGTCAAACTACTGCTCTACAATAGAATATCACTAATTTGATGATATCTTCTTGTAGAGAAATGAAAAAATAAAAAAAAGCTACTAATACTAATACTAATTCTAAAAAGAGAAAGAAAAAAAACAGAAATTAATACTAAAAAAAACAAAACAAAATGAAAGGTAGATAAAAAAAAAGAAAAAAAATCTAACAGATCACAATTATAAGCCTGTATTGAGTCTTAAAAAATTACATATTATAAAATAAAGAAACTCTGTATTTAAATTATTCTAATAATATATATATAGGGATAAAAAAATTAAAAAAGTTAGCTAAACTAGATACTATAGTTGATCTAGACAAAGTAGCCCAAAATCTAAACAAAGAAATCTCAAAGTATTATTTAATAGTTTTTTTAGTTTCAAGATATATAATCTATTTGTATTGTTCTATAGTTCATACTCGATTGCTTATTTCAAATATCTGTCTATTATCTTGTTTTAGAAGTTCTATTTATGTACGTAAATAAATAAACAATACTGACTGTTTTAAAATTTTATGTGTTAATCTTTTGAAGTGGTAAGCTAAAACATCTACTTTTTAACAAAAATTTCTTTGAAAAAAAAGTAAGAAGTTAATGAAGTATGTGAGATTCTTCTGTAAGTTTTATAGTTGTATAGTTAATTCTTTAAGTTTATACTATCTTAGTAAGGACCAGTTCACACTTTGCTTTTAGAATAAACCTTCTAGTTTGAATGCTGAATATCTTGGAAAGTCTACTAAGATTCAAGAAAGTTTGACCCCAAAAAAAACTACTTATGTTATGCTTGCTCCCTAGTATTTCACATCTTTCAAGCTTTGTCAACAACAACCTGTTCAAAGATAAATTTAGTTTTCAGAATAAACCTTCTGGTTTGGATGCCAAATATCTTAATTGGTGATTCACTACTCAACCAGAGAGAGCTTATAGTGTAACATAACATGGTTTATATATAGAAATTAAGGTTTTTAGAATGTAAGCTGCTTCTATCTAAAACTTTTTTGTACTAAGTTAATCATCTTTGGGCCTCTAATTGAAGTTGTAGAGCTCATTAAGATGAATCTAATAGTTGTTGAATCATCAAAATCGGCTTGGTGAATCACGAGATATCTTCGAAAACATTTTGCTGACTATGTAAAATTCTTTTGACAATACTATTGTCGAAAGAAAGAATTTTATATAGTTAGCAAAACGTTTTTCGAAGATATCTCGTGATTCACCAAGCTGATTTTGATGATTCAACCACCATTAGATTCGTCTCGATAAGCTCTACAACTTCAATTAGAGGCCCAAAGATAATTAATTTAGTACAAAAAAAAGTTTTAGATAGAAGCAGCTCACATTTCAAAAACTCTAATTTCTATATGTAAACCACATCACATTACACTATGAGCTCTCTCTAGTTGAGTAGCGAATCACCAATTAAAAAATCTACTAAAAAAAAGTTTGACCCCAAGAAAAACTGCTCAAGTTATATCTGCTCCTTGATATTCATATCTACAGGCTTTATTGATAACTGCTTACTTAAAAACAGGATTGAGAATAGTATATATCTTGAACCTTCTATAGCATTTTTTTGTAGTTCAGTTTTTTGTTGTGTTGTCTAGAGGATTTATTGGTGAATTTATTTATTATATTAAATATATTAATCTATATAAGTATTTTTCTTGATATTTATACTTATTGAATTAAATCTAATGAAAACAACTAGTTGTCTACTATTTTTCTAATACTATTCTTGAGATTACAAGTAATATATTTTTTATTGCTTTTTTAATAGTAAATTATATCAATATCTAAAAATTTATTTTATACAGTCAACTCTCTTTAAGTGCAAGTCAATGGGCTAGCAAAATAACTTGTATTTAGAGAGAACTTGCAATTAAAGAAAACTAAATTAATATACTGTATAATTAATTCTCTCTAAATACAAGTTTATAAGTTAAAAAAAATATCTTGTACTTAGAAAAAAATCTTTAATTAAATAAGTTAATTTAATTGGTTAATAAAATATCTTGCAATTAGAAAAAATAATTTTATATATACTGGCTAAAAAAAATCTTGCACTTACAGAATAAAGAACTAGCATTTATATTATAAGTCCTAACACGGGACCAAACTATTTAATTGCATTTAAAGAGAAGTTGCACTTAGAGGATGTGCACTTAGAGGGAGTTGACTGTAGAATGTGACCCCAGGTAGGGTGTCTATGATTATGCGATGCGAAATTATATGCATAATTGCCCATTTTTTCGCATCGCATCTGCTTCACATAATCAAGGAAAAAAAGACATAAAAGACACGTGGATAAAATATGATTAGCAGAAAGATGTTTATTCAGGTTTTGATAAATTGTAATTCTAAAAACTTCCGAGCCAAAAATTTCAAAAAATTCCAAAGATTCAGCATAATTGACAAAATCTAATTAAGAAATCACATAATTCGCATCCATCGCATAATTGACCTTAGTGAAATTGCATAATTTACTCAATCGCATCGCATAATCCTGGACACCCTAACCCCAGGTTAGGGTGTCCAGGATTATGATCCAGCATAATATGTGCATAATTTGTGATTTTTGCTATATGAAATCGCATAATTCGCTCACTTTCATGCAGTATGTGCAGTATGTGACACAAAAATTGATTGGTTAAATGAATAAACCGGTGACTATAATCACCTGACTTGTCGTACTTTTGAAATTTTATTGGCTAATAACTCAAAATTCGCATAATTCGCATAATTTGCAATTTACCGGATGCATAATTTGGCATTTACCGGATCATAATCCTGGACACCCTACCCCAGGTCACGACAACACGTGATATATGGGGCAGTACCGTATTTTACCGTGCAAGGTACCCGGTGTGATGCGATTTTTTGCAATTGAAAAAAAATTAAATCACGTGCCTTAGACATCACATGATGTATAAATAGCATTTTAAAAATTGATCTACATTATTTGTCACACCGGGTACCTTGCACCGGTATGTGCCAATTCATTCCCTGGTGGCGTGTTTACTTTTTGCATATGTATTTCGGGATTTTATTGTGTTGTACTGTAAGTTTGTTTTACCAAGTACGTAGCCAAAATGCGAAAAGATCTTGGTTAACACTAATAAAACACATCAAACTAAATAAACTGGTAAACACCGACTTCATATCAGATATGCAGTAGCACAACATATATGAATATAAAATTTGGGGAATTCGTCCAATAGGAATTGAGATATACAATACCACAATTGTAGATAACAAGCCAATCAGAAAATAAAAATATTTTAATATTTTTGAACACTCGTAGTTTTAAACCTAATTTTGACAATGCCAATCCTCCCAACGACCACGCCGCGTTCTTCTTTTCACGAGGAAATGAATTATAAACGGAGAAGACCGACATACTGGACTGCTTCAATTCCTTTATTTCTACGAAGGTTGTTTCGTTTTCCGCAAATGGTATATTATCGAGTTTTTTTTATGAATGATCGAGTCCAGAAACAATAATTGTTTTATATTTACAAAATCTTTATCCAGGATTTCGAGTTTGCACTTTGGCAAATGCTCTACTTATGTATATCTCCAAGAAGAGTGTGAGTAACAACTTGGTTAAAGTCATTGATATGTATCAAATATTGCACCCGGGTTTAATAACCAATTTGACTCTGATAAATTACCAGATATCGCAATATTTATTATCATAAACGTAAATTTTTTGCTTTTTTATAAAACATTAAATTTGAAGCTTTATTGATCTTGTCATATTTATTTTACTTTATCCTATTTTCGCTTTTCAGAAACAAAAAATCAATGGGCAAGGGATGATCCGGCTTTTGTTGTAATTTTATCATTTTTTCTGGGTGGTAAGTTCTTAAATTTTTTTTAATTTTTTTTCTATTTTTTTTTCTATTTTTTCCCTGCATTCTTTTAAAGCAGTTAACATTATTGGCCTGTGTTACATATAAAAGCATCTGCAATAGCCTGGGGATTAGTTTATGGGCATGGGATAGTGGGAATCCTCAAGATGATCCTATTTATGGTCTTTATAGATTTTGTAATGGTTGGTCTAGTGATATCGACGATTTGTTGGTAATCTATTGTTATTATATTATTAAATTTCACTTCTTACAATTATCTGATTATTATTATTGTCACTCAAACAAAAGGGCATTCGCAAACAGATTTCTGTCACATAGGCGTACAATACATACCGTTGAACAGACTGTGGAATGGGCCTATTCGTTCGATGTTCATTGCAATGCGTTTTTCCCTTTATTTTTAATCTTATACATTGCCCAATTTTTCCTCGTGCAAATCTTAACCAAACAAATTTGGATTTGTTTATTCTTGGGAAATTCAATGTACCTAGTAGCGATAGGCTATTATTGTTACATAACTTTTCTTGGCTATAATGGTACGTTAGTTTCTTTCATTCAATGTTGATTTGCGTTTAAATCTTTTCTTACCATTTAATCATTAATTTCAGCACTCCCATTTTTGTTACATACCGAGATGTTCCTATATCCAATAGTTCTTTTTCTCATAATTTATTTCGTATCTCTTTTTGGGTTCAATATCAGTGCTATAGTTTTACAATTGTATTTTAGTTCATAAAATTCGTAAATTAACTATTTTTAGTTTTGAAATTTTAATATTTATAAATTGGGACATTTAGACATTAATTCAATGATTGTTTAGATAGTGTTTTAATATTACATCTGTTATGTGATCAATTTTATATTTATTGACCACACTTGATTTAACCAAGAAATTTTCACTGTAATTTGTGACTAAAAAAAGCACGTTTTCATTTTACATTTATTTCACATCAATACTCGCAGTTCTAACACAGTCATCCTTCTTTAGTATTCTTAATGAATGCTACAACTTTTATATAATATCTTTCCTTAATCATCACAAAAAAAAAAAAAAAAAAAAAGAAAAAAAAGAAAAAAAAAATCCAAATTTTGATGGAATATTACAAATAAACTAATTGGAGACACTCTTGTAAAAAGTAACATGACAAAAAGTGAGTATAACATACATAAATATATTTCGTGGCTTTTAAAAATTGTTAATCATCATTAAAAAATCTCCTATTTGTCGCTGTTTACTCCTTTCAATGTTGCACCTTTCAACACTGCACATTGTTGTTTATGTCCATTTTTCCAATCATTCTTTTGACATTCCTTGGAACAATAATTCGCACGTCCACAACCAGAGCAAACTAACAATTGTGATTTCTTTTCATTACTTACTTCTCCATTTACATCTTTTCGCACTTGGCTGCTACAAGAATTACACTTTTTACCCTGATTATTCTGATCAAGGAATCGTTGCAAAATTTTTAATTTCTCAGCCTCCTTTTTGGATCCTTTTTCCACTTTCGTACTTTCTTTTAGCTGTTCTGGTTCGAAAAGTGCGACTGCAGTACGTTTAGCATCGGTCATCTCAGGGGTGCGTCCATAAAGATATTTGTATCTTTCTTCCGCTTCTTTAGCTCTTCCGAAGTAATTTGAAGCTTGTTGAGTACGTAAATTTTGTGTGACCTGTTTTCGATTACCTATCGTCGTTGCATTGGCATTTTGAATCGTAAGTGCAGATAAAGCGTAAAGAGCAGGTGCATAAGAAGTCGAATCTTTATTGGCCTTTTCAATGTAAATTTTCAAGTTACGTGTAGCCTCCATTCGATCACCCTGTGATCTATATATAGATCCCATAATGTTATAAGCATCAACAAAATTGGGATTAATAGACACCGAGCGTTCAAGGTCTTTGATACAATGTTTGTGTTCTCCAGCTGCAAGATAACATGAAGCGCGAAGGTGGAGAAGACGAGGATGAAGAGATGGATCAAGTTGTCTAAGAGCTATGGTAAGAGTTTGAATGCAGAACTGATATTGTTTTCCGTTGAAGAGAAGCCAGATTACTAGTATAAGCGACCTTAATAGTAAAAGGCGTTAATTTTACATAGTTTTTGTTTTAAGTTCTCATGTTACAATACTTACTCCCTTGTAAACTCCGGTTCGAATGTATCCGCCTCCTCCGGAAGAGACAAATCTTTCTCCGATTTCTTTGCTTCTACCACTTCCTTGCCTTTCTCATCCTCGACCGTTTCCTCCGATACTTCCTCAATCACTTTCTTTTCATTATCTTCTACACCATATTGTAATTTTAAAAGTTTTTCATATTGTTGAGCAAGTGTCATAATTCTAGGTGACATCTCAGTTGCTTTCTCGTCTAATAAAAAGGCTTCGACAAGACATTTTGTAGATTCATGAATCTCTTTCTCATGGGCTTTCAAAGTTTCTTCATTCGAATCATCCGGAATCTTCGACGCGATACTGATACCTTGTGTAAACAATTCTTTTGCTTTAAAATACTGAAAACAGGAATTAATGAATTACAAATGAGTTATAACTATATATATATATATATATATATATATAACAAATAGCTTTTACCTCAACGACCTCAGGGTCCTCGGTCTCTTTTTTTTTGCCGCGAATCTCTAACAAATCGTATTCTTGAATTCTACTGTGTCTATCTACCAAAGGGTCGAGGTGATGGTCATGATCGTGATCATGATCGTGATTTTGTCTGTGTCCATGGTGATGGGAATGGTCATGGGCATGATGTTCGTGAGAATGCTCGTGAGAATGGTCGTGATCATGGTCATGGTCGTGTGTGTGATCGTGAACGCGAGAATTAAGGACAGGTACTTCAGCTAACTCGGTCATATTCATTCAACTTATGAAGAAAGGCCTCTTAGTGGCTTGAATCTTGTGAGACTGCTTTAAAAAGCCTGTTCGTTTATATCGATGTGTCGCAGTTAGTGAAGATCGATGGTACGCTATAAATACCGAATTTGCATTTTGATTCGAGACCCAATAGGTGGGGTCTGTGTTCTTGTTATCCATAAATCGATAGCGCTTAGAACAAGGGTTACGAAATGATCGTTACGTTCACCGACAAAATTAAAACCTATACAACGAGGGTCCCAAATTCCGGGTCGGAATCAACCGGGTCTTACATTATAAAAATTTGGTTTGATCCGAAACCAGGTGGTTACTGTAATCATGGCAAAAACGAATCGACCAGGGCGGCCGTCAAAATTACTGTTACGTGAGTAGTACCATTGCCGCAGCTGCAGCTTTCATATGATCATGTGGTACACTCCCCTGCCAGTGATCACCGGAATTTTATAATTACACAATGTCGATCATTTTTTTTACAAGTTTTTACGACTGCAATTTCTCGACAACCCACTTAAT